TCCTGCATCCTATTTTGGTGCATTGGCCAGGAAACATCTAGACTCATCTTCTTCACTTCAGAATGATAAGTAATGTAAACTTTCTACCCTTTTTTCCTGGACACTCTTGTCCCTAGAAACTAGCTCTACAAGACAAAATTACTGGGCATCGGGCTGTTATGTAAAAACTATTAGTGACTGCCAGTCTACCAGACTCTAATGTGAGGCTGGCTGGGAAACAGTCAATCTCTCAGCATTATCAGTACTTGAGAATGTTGGCTGTTTTGTGACTCTTTTTCCGTTTCTGGAATCTTAACCGTTGTGGAGAAGTGAATGTTCCTGGGGCAATTTATGGTGCATGTCAAGGTTACTCTCTGGTGTATCCTGAAGGCCCTGAGAATTTGAAGCCATCCCCCATATCCCAGTTGGGTAACAGGTCAGATTCCTTTCTTTCCTTTCCTTCAGACTTTTTCTCTTATATGCTAGCAAGAGAGTGATACATATACAGGAACTTGCCATGCTGCATTAAAGAAAGTGAAGCTGCTCTTTGCTCTGCCAAACTACGGGGTCTTGAGACTAGGGACTCTAACTGTGGCATGGGAGAAACTGAATGTCTCTTGAGCAATTGAAGGCATCTGGCCAGGGCCACTCCCTGTGGCGCTGGAAGGCTCTGAGGTTGAAAGTTCTCCCCCACTGCTCAAGTGAGTGTCAGAAGGAGTTTCTCTGTTTCTTACACTCAAGTTTCTCTACTTCTTACTCTCAAGCCCACAGAGTCTTTCTGTCTGAGTCTAGTAAAAAATGAGCAATAAATCCTCTTTTTCAACTGTTTCTAAAATCTGCTGAACAACTGTTCTTTATCTCCCTCATATTGATAAACCAGTACTCAGAAAGAGCAAAATATACCTTGGGTAAAATAATTAGGACTCTTTGACCTTGAGTATGCATAGGGTGTAAATTAAATTGTAATTGTTGAGAGGCTCATGTAATATTGCCTTTGCCTGGCCAGTCTTCCTCTTCATTCCTCTGATAGATATAGAAAGTTGTTTATTGGCCCTTTGGGGACATCTGCTTAACTGCTCTTTCCTTCGGTTCCCACACCGCAGTGTTCTATATCACCTATTAATTTTCCCTGGATTTGGGGTGCATTCCAAGCATGTTCTAAATTAGCAAGTCTCTCTTCGTTTAGACCCAAATCATAGTACAGATAGGAAATGCAGGAATTACTGTAATGAATTACTCTTCTCTTTTAGAATCCATCAAGCTACAAATGGTGGTTGGGACAAAGTCTCCAGTGAACACCCATCATGACTTTTGGCACGGACCTCTATATAGACCTTTGGTAGAGGATCCTTAACTGCTGCCACTCCCCCATCATCACCCAATTTCAGC